AAAACGAGCCGAACACGAACAAACAAATATTTATTCGTGTTGTTCGTGTTCGGCTCGTTAACTTAGCAAACGAGCCGAACACGAGCTTCTTAACAAACCGAACACGAATTGTTCGCGAACAACGAGCCGTTTTGACAGCCCTAGCTAGAGATCTCTAATTCAAAGTTTATATATGCGCTAATTTGGGATTAAAATGCTCAAAATTCCAAAAAAGAAAAAGATTCAAACAAAACATAGAATTTATTTTATCATTATTAGGCATTTGATCAAAGAATATTAAAATTTTAAAAGTATGTGAGCTTTTTTTTGTTTATTATGTGAGGATTGTTTGGTCAACTAGTTGGTTAAATATTATCCTCAATCCCAATGCCTTGATCATTCAATCGATTGCATATCTAACATTTAAATTTTGATATTTAGATTCATAACATGGGATCATAAATGTTCATAAGAAGATGTAGTTGACTTTTATAAGGTTTGTTAAAGTGATATTTTATATATTATGTTAAAAATTTTGAGGGATATGAATATAAATATTTAAATTAAGTGTTAGCTAGCTATGTAAATGCATAAGGATTGTGGGCACGCTAAACAAAAAAAACTCTTTTTTTATTCTACCTCAAGCCGTATATATTATTGATTAGAGCATTTTAGTTGTGAGCCCTTGATTTTTCCAACAAAATTGATTGCACTCGATACGGCCAAAATCCAATTTCATATACCAAATCGTCGCATTAATAAAGTATGTGCAGTGATCTTAGAAATCTAAAGGTTAAAAAATATATATATTAGGATGGCAAATCCATTACAAAGGGATTGTGAGGCCCACCAAACCGTACGAGTCAAGCCATAAGAGCTGAGTCAACTAGGGCAAAATAGAACAAGCCAAAAGAAGGTTAAGAAGACAATAGAGCAATCCCAGTAAGCCATTGAACTTAAAACGAAACAAGAGAGTGACTGGGTCATTTACTTTAGGAAAGCTAACTGAATGCAACAACCTATCCCCCAGCGGAGCGGACCCAATAGAAGAGCCAGTTCCACTAAGTATATCCAACCACCCAGCAAAAAACCAAAGACTTCTGGCAAATGTTCGATGATGAGCCACAAGAAAAGTTCAAAATTCCGAAACTTGAATCTTAGAAAGGACAAATGAACCCAACCATCCACATCGCTTCCTTTGAGTCGGTTGTGTGTATGTCCTCTCAAGATCAACAGCACACTAAATTGCTGATTTTTTCTCCCCACGATGAGGGACTCGACCCTCAAGCGGTTCAATAAATTATCGTCAGGAGTAATCACATCATTTGCATATTTCAAGTAAATATTACTTGCGCAGTTTTCTAGTGCTCAAAAACCCAAAAGATCTCTTAGGCTTTCTTCTAGCGTCGCTAGGGATAGAGGGAAACCTTGTGTACCTTTGTCACCCAGTTCCAGAAGAAAATGTTAGAGGTTTGGGATTTAGAACCCATGTCGCTCATACGGCCCTCACACCAGAGTTGAAGGAAGGACCTTCTCATTACATGTTGAGATTACAGTGGCAGAAGCCACTGGGTCAGTTGTTCGAGCTAGCTAATCGGTGTATATCGGTAGAAGAATAAAATTCCCCCTGCTTCATTTAGAGCAGAGCAAATGAAACGGCATCCGCTAAAGAGAATCACCATGGAAAAGATTGGAAACCGAGACACAAACCACAACTTTATACCCAAGTTTGCTTCAAAGATTCATGATGATACTTAGATAATCGAGTGACCGATATTGACCTCATGTTTGATCAACCCTTCATTCGAACTCAAGACCAACTCACATATAACTCAAATCTAAAACCTGCTCACATTGCACTATTGTTAAAGACCTTGATCTTCATGGAATGGGAAACTCTCCACATGTCAAGAAATTAAGAAACTCTCCACATGTCATGATCATGATGCTCAAAGTGGACTAGCACTGGAAATTTTCTTAGTTTAAAGGCCTCGATCTTCATGAGAAATCCTTAAATTTACTTGATTAAGAATCACATGTGTGCACTAGTGTTCACACGGAGACCTACAACTGGAAGCACTTGCACGAGGTGTGTGATATGTAGAAAAGAATGTTTGATTTCCTTTATATTTTTGCACATGTTTATGGATAAAATTGAACTTTAAAGAATGGTATTTTTTTTTATTTTTCTACCAAGTACAATAGGCATTAGAAGTGGAACAAAGTGATAAAGAAATGGAGTGAAGTGAGGATGACTTGGAGCTATGGAGCAACCAGATGACTAGTGCCTTAGTGCCAGCTTTCTTGGGCGCCTAGGTCCCAACCCCACTCTGAGAGACAGAGAAGCCGACACTTAAGTGTCAGCAAGGTGGCGCTAAGGCGCCGCTAGCAAGCTCCTTGACGCTAGATTTTTGACCTTCTAGGTGCCACTAATAAAACTAGCAGACAGAGAGCCTAGCATCTAGGCAACAAAAATAGTTTGGGTAGTTTCAGTAGTTCGTCAACATAATGTGGAGAGTAGTGAAACCTGATATAGGGGTTATTTGGAGAAGGAAAAGGAAAAAAATTTCTTGTCGATTGTAGTCCCTATTCAGTGCTTTGCTATAGGATAGATTAGAGAGCATTTTATGAGGGTTTGAGAGAGTTTTTCAAGTGTAAAGTGAGGAGGGTTTAAGAAAAGCGGCAAGGGGATTTGGAGATCCTTGGGGGAAGCATTCTCAGACCTTTGAAGAGAGGGTAAAGCAAAGTATTGTGTACTCTTGTATTTTTATTTTAGTAAACACAATTTTATGGTGGATTTGCTTAGTTCAAAGTTTTTTTGTGGTGTTTTCTCAATACTTTTTGAATAGTCTTTTTACCTTTTTGTGATAGTTCAGTAGTTTATGTAAGAATGCAAAGTAATTTAAAAAAATGGTTTAAATCTTGAATATGATTAATGACCTTTAGAATTTATTTTATTTTTCATTTTGGCCAAGTGATTAGTTACCACAATGACTCAGGAGAGATAAGCTAGAACAAGTAGGTTATTCACATTGATCTATAGGGTATGGTGCAAGTACTTTATATGGAGATGCAAATGTTAGGGATATAAATTTTTATGGAGATGCAAGTGTTAGGGATTTACTTGGTTTCAAATTTTTTTTTGGGCTCAAGTATTTTATATGGAGATGCAAATGTTAAGGAACTAAAAGCATTTTAATCAAACTTGTTTATGCACTTGAGAGAGGGTAAGGAAAAGAGTTGATTTTATTTGTCACTAGCCACATTCAAAATTGTTTCCTTACACTTTCTATATTACCACTTAAACCATTACAAGGGAAGGTAGCATTATAACTTGATAATCACCAAACCAATTATCGACACTATTTTTGGTGTAGGGTTTGCCCGTAAGAAGTTGTCGGTCATCGGAATTGAAATCCCGTTGCCCGCTTCAGAAGGACATTTTAAAAATTTTAATTTTGAAAAAGATGAAGTCAAGTTGACCCCATAATTTTCATAGTTTAGATGAAAGAGCGTTTTACCTCAAATCCTGTATCTATCCCTAAGGATGAACACAAGAATTGAGGGTGAGGCTCGATCAAATAAACTAGAGAAAGTTATGACATCCGTTTGGTCTGCGAACCCAATGTATTGGCCGACAAGTTCCCCTATTTAATATAAGGAATTAAATAGGGTTTA